TTACGCGTAGCATAAGGGGACAATAGTCCCAAGTCTATTTCCTGAGTACTTGCTTCTTCCTTCCCTCTGCCTGGGCCACCCACTGTCCTGTCCACCCACAGCCAGGAGACCGTGATGTGCCGGCTAGGGAACATTTCCTGTGCGACACATTCTGTCCCTTGGAATTGGTCTCTGGTGGCGTTTTCCAAAGCCAGCGCCACACAATTTGGCTCCCGTAAAAGGAGTGCTCTCTCTCTTCCATCGACTGAGGGTGAAGGAAAAAATGTGGAATAAAAGGATGATAGAGGAGCTGTTGAAAAACTGAAAGGCTGACAGAGTCTCCACACGCTGGCTGCAGAGGGATGACAGGTTATGATGTGACCGGAGCAAAGGCAACACGGGAAAGAGAGGGTTTGTGTGACTTACACTTCCAGGTCCATCCTGGAGGGAACTCAGGGCAGGGGCTCAAGGCAGGAGTCTGAAGCGGGAACTACAGAGGAGTGCTGCTCACTGTGTTAATCCTGCCAGTGGAGACTGAAGCCACTACCACACTTTAAAGCCAAATCAGGAGCAAGCTTTGGATACATACTAGACAGGAAATGAGATGGGAAAAGGAAGGAAGTTGCTGGAGACCAAGGAGACCCAATTCCCGTGGAGACCCTCAGGACCCACCTCCCAGGTGTCCCATGCAAGGGAGAGGAAGCACAGAGTTCCTTCTGGAATCCAGCCAGCACAGGCTGAGCACCGTGCCACCCATGACGGCGGAGGGAGGGAAGATGCGCCCCATGGAACCATTTCAATGAAGGTGGACTTTAGGAGATCAGAGCTCACTACAAGAAGACATCATCTCCCTCCATGGCTCTTCCCAATGTTAGTGACAGGCAAAAGGGACTGTGCTTAGGGAATGTGAGGGAAGATATACAAACATCTCCTGTAGGTGGGTGAGGTCTGTGTGAATATCTTCATCTTGGAGTAGAGGGTTTTCAGAGTCTGGTGAAAAATGCTGGGAGGAAGGGATCTGAAGGTCAGAAGGTAGAAGTCTGAAGGTCAGAGGGTAGGGTCTGAAAGTCAGAGGGTAAAGATCTGAAGGTCAGAGGGTAAGGATCCAAAGGTCAGAGAGTAAGAATCTGAAGGTCAGAGGGTAAGGCAGGAACTGTGGAGCTTCTCAAGCTTCCCTAGAGAGGGGCTGTTCCTCAGAGCAGGTGTTGAGGACCTGACCATCATTGGGACTGACAAGAGGCAGGGCCGCCTCCGAGGACTCTTCAACAATGGAGATGAGAAGAGACCGAGTCCTTCTCAATGGAATCCACTTGCACCATTGTGAGACTTCTCCTGGAGAGATGTGAACGGACGTCTTCTCTCATCGAACGTGGCACCATGACTCCATGACTAGAACGAAACCGTCAATTCCACCTAGTGAACCAATAAGAATATGAGAGCTTACGAGAGCTTTTGGTGAAAAATACTACACCGTCATGGGCGAAAGCTCGGGGAAGCCGAATGCTTGGAGTTGTCTGTAGAACAGTTTCTGCCTCTTCTGCCCGGCAGTTGTTACTGCTTCTACGATCTTGAGGAGGGGCCTCGTGAGTCTTGTTGCATTTCAGGGGCTTCCTGAGAGTTTTGACTTACATTGGGTTCCCTTAATTGACCTGCTTTCTCTAATCTCTGTTGGCTTCTCAGAGCTCACTCTTAGGTGTCCTTTTAGGGCTGAAGAATAAGTCCAGGAGATTGTCCTCTCTGCCCTGCTTCTGTCTGTCTGCTTCCTGGTTTAAAAGTCTCCCCTCCAGAAGGGAAGGTTTCAGTTCAGAGGAAATGGTTGCATCACAGGGAGACAAGCCATGCCAGGAGGACAGTGTCAGAGACGGAACCAGACTGAGTGGGGGAGCAGGAAGGTCACCCCACCACAAGGACTTGCCTCCCAGTTCTCCCCACCACCCCCCACTGTAATCAAGCTGGAGACAGAAGAGGAAGGAAGAAGAAAGTGTGTCCTTCTCTTGACACACCTCCTCGGAGCCACTGGTCTACACAGCAATGGCATGGGAGAAATAGCAACAGATTCAAGATTGGTACTTGTGACAGGACCTAGCTGTGTTTAACCACTAGAAGTGGCCAGAAAAATAATGGAATCTGCCAAGACAAATTAAAGGCCGGGGAAAGCAGATAACAGAGTACAGACCTGACTGGGAAAAATATCTCCTGTTTGTAACTCAGCTACTTGTATGCCCTGAGTGGGGACACTTACATTTGATTCCCTTAATTGACCTATTTTCTCTAATCCCTGTACGCTTTTCAGGGTTCATTCTTATGTGTCCTTATAGGACTGAAAAGTAAGTCAGAAACCGTCCTCTCTGCCCTGCTTCTGTCTGTTGGTCTCTCTCTCGCTGAGGGGGTGGATTTTCCTGGGGTGACTGAACACAGGCTCTTGTCCACTCCAACTTCAGGTCTTCCCTGACATGTAACCCTAAGGGCAAGCTCTGTGTAGCTCCTTCTGAGAATTCTCAGAGGGGGATGTAGGTCATCCATGACCCCCTGAGGCCAAATGTCCCATGTGTGCATCATCCCTGACCCCCTGAGGCAAGACATCCCTGTGTGGGTCAGCCATGACCCCCTGAGGCCAAATGTTCCATGTTTGGAATTGAAGAGATACAGGTCTCCAGAACAAAGTTGGGGAGGGCCACAATACACAAAGCATGGCACATGACCCATAGATCCTAACTCGGGTCTTAAAGAAATCACTTTCATCCTGAGATCTTGGCAGTCCTGTTTATCTACATACTTCTGAAAGGTCCTCCTCCAATAGAACCGAATTATGAGAGAATAGGACATAATTACGTAATGGACATAATTTCCACAGTTTAGCTCTGCCTCCAGAGAGTTTGGCCATCCTTATCCCCGACCCTCTAAAAGCACACGCATCTATACTAGGACAACAAAATGGTTACAAAGTCATGTTGTCCAGGCTCCTTTACAGACCACTTCCATCAATCCAGAGAGTTCTGTTGGATATCTCTAGTCTAGATGCTTAGCAGAGGCTGCAGGTATGTGCAGAATGAACTGAGAATTGCCTGCTGATCCCAAGGCAGAACCAGGAAGGACTCAGGGTCAGAGGGCAAAGCCACTCAGCAGGGAGGACTCCTACAGAGACTGCTCCAGGACATGTCTCCAGGTAGGTGTGACAGAGGTTCCCAGACTGCTTCTTTCTAGGGGGCCAAGTCTAGCTATGGACATGGTAAGTGGGTGCAGCTGACTGGGAAGACAGCAAGAAAAAATCTGCACATGAGCCGGGCATTGGGGGCGCACGCCTTTAATCCCAGCACTCGGGAGGCAGAGGCAGGTGGATCTCTGTGAGTTCAAGGCCAGCCTGGTCTACAGAGCGAGTTCCAGGACAGCCTCCAAAACAATACAGAGAAACCCTGTCTCGAAAAACCAAAAAAAAAAAAAAATCTGCACATGATGTTCCCAGGGAGAGACCTCACACCACAGCATCCACACTTGACAGGGGTGGGGGGGGGTCCACAAAGAAAGCTGGGAAGAGGGGACAGACAGGAGGAAGAGACAGACAGGAGGAGGGGACAGACAGGTGCTATTCAAACCACCTTTCCTGCAGAGTCCCCCCCCCCCCCATTTTCCCCCTCCTTCTTTGTAAACTTTTTGATGGAAATGAAACCTAGGAAAATCAAGGTCTAGAAACCCAGCCCAGATAGCCTTCTTAATACATGCGTCGGAATCTGGCAGTCCCAAACTGAGGTCATGACCTAAACGGTAGTGTGCTTGCCTAGCAAGCAAAAAGCCCTGGGTTCGATTCCCAGAATTACAAAGAAACAGACATGAAGGTGAACCTCAGCCCTTGGGAGGCGGAGGCAAGAGGATCAGGAGTTCAAGGCCAGCCAGGGATTCATGAGACCACATCTCAAAATGCAAACAAAGGGTTCTCCGGTCCCCGAATGTCAGCGCCTCTTGATTGTCTTAGAGCAGTTGCTCACCTCACCCCTTAGGTGGTTTGCAGCAAAGTTCATGTTTGGCAAATATTGTTGAATTAATTAATCCTTAGTCATAGAAAAAGACAGGGCAGTTGCCCAGGACAGCATCTACCCATTAACAGGAATGTTTTCCAAGAGAGGTCATGGAAGCCGGCGGCTGTAGGTCATTTTCAAAGTCCCGGTGCTAATGCTGTTTGGGCCCCTACTCTGGAGTCTCTGTGCTCCTTGGGCTTGTGTGTTCAGTAGATGTGCTGAGTAAGCTGTGTGTGCTCCCCCGACATCGGCTAGCTCCAAGATCCCGATATAGTGACCCCTGGCTGGTCCTTTGACTTACCATGTGTGCATTTTCTTTTCCTAAAAGTGTACGGGTGCCCTCAGGAGATAGCTCAGAAGTAAAGGGCTTGTTGGGGGAACTTGAAGGCCTGAGTCCAACCCCAGTACCTACATAAGGCAAGCTGGCATGGCGTTTGTTATCCCAGTGCCAGGGAGATGGAGATTGAAAGATCCCTGGGGCTCACTGGCTGGACTTATTGAGTTCTGGACTAGAGAGAGAGCCTGTCTCCAAAACCCCAATGCATGTGCCTGGTGGGGAGCAACACATGCAAATGTCTTCCTTGGCATGTATGCACACACACACACACACACACACACACAAGTGCAAAAGACATTTTAATTTTAATTTTTATTTTGGTGGGGATAAAGTGAGTTAATTAACCCTCCCCTCCACCAGAGGTGATTTTGAGAGTGGCCCATCCACGTGGCTGGGGGCCGCTTGTGACCTGTGATTTACGCTGTAAAAACATTCATAAATATGTAAATGTCTGAGACCTCAGGAGAAATCTTCCCTAACGCTCTGAAGAAAAGTGGAGACCTGCTTGGTTTTAGGCTTCTGGAAGTAGCTTGGGGAAGAGCAAAGGGGCTTTGGGATTAACTCAATTAAATGCAGGTGGTTGGTGGGGGCTGTCCTTCTGTATCTATGTTTCTCTTATTGGTTGATGAATAAAACAATGATTGACCAATAGCCAGGCAGGAAGCATAGGCGGGGCAACCAGACCAGGAGAATGCTGGGATAGAAAAGAGAGGGAGGCCACCAAGAGATACCATTGCTGCCACAGGAGTAACAGGCCGGATTACAGGTAAGCCACAGCCTCATGGCAATACACAGATTGATAGAAATGGGTTCATAATTAAGACAGAGCCAATAAGAAGCCCGAGCATTTGGCAAGCAGTTCAATAATTAACATGACTCAGCAGGACAGATACCTCCATCTTCAGGTGGTCATAGAGTTGTGGGCAAAAAAACTCAGAAAAAAGTATTTTAAAGCCAAGAAAACAGACACTTGCAGGTAGATGAGCATAATGGGGGAAAGTCAGAGAACAGCATGCGAAACTCGGTCCTCAGCCTGTTCCTTCCATGTGGGTGAGCATTTGTGGGAACCTCACTAACATCACGTGGCAGGAGAGACGGGGGGAGGGTCACTTGGTTCATCCCCTCTACCAAGCACCTACTAAGTTCCTGGCTCTACCCCATCCATAAATTACACATCAACACCCAAGCCAGACATGCAACTTCCAGCCGGATAAGATTGCAGCTGTCAAGTACTGACCAAATAATTACGGGAGTGCGATGACTGGCTTCAGCTGTCAGTGTGACACTGCCTAGAACCACCTGGGGGAAAAGGCCTCTCAGAATATGTGAGGGATTCGTCTTAAGTGTGTTTATTGATGTGGGGAGGTTCGTCCACTAAGGACAGCACCATTCCCTGGGCTCAGGGACCTAGGACTGTGAGGACAGAAAGCTGGGAGCTAGCATGCTCGCCCTGATCATGACTCTCTGGGTATAGTGTGACCAGCGTGCTCGCCCTGATCATGACTCTCTGGGTATAGTGTGACCAGCGTGCTTGCACTGGGTATGGTATGACCAGCTGCTTCAAGATCCTGCTACCTCCACTTCCCCAAAATAACTGGGAATTATGAACCAAATAAGCCCTCTATTCTGTAAGTGGAGGTATCTTATCACAGCAAGAGGAAAAAGAAAATAAACTAAGACGTGTAACTAAAGGTAGCGACATGAAGTTCTACCGAGAGAAAAGTCAGGACTGGGGATGGAGCTCTGTGGGTAGAGTGCTTACTTGGCATACGTGAGGCCCCGGATTCAATCCCCAACACCATGTAAATCAGGCGTGGTGGCACATGCCTGTCCTCAGAGGGTTGAAGGAGGGGGATTCAAGGCTGTTCCTGGCTACATTTGAGTTTGAGGTCAGCTTGGGATACATGAGGCTGTCTCAAAAATCACCAGACCCACCAGCCAACCAGAGGATAGTCTGGAGTTCCCTAGGGAGCAGGGCTTCCTTCCCAGTCCTCAGCCAGCTCGCAGTTACCGAAGCTTTGGGTCCTCATTTGGAGGCAGGTGACCAGTGGGTGTGTGCTGCCTGACTGTGTGGCAGCAGAGATAAAGGAGGGGCGCCGTGGGATGGACAGGAGGTGGCCAGGGAGGGCCTCGGGACAGTGGATCTTGACCGTCCTGGCCCCACAAAGCTGACCCAGGAGCCTGGGCTGTGAAAAGGCCAGTGATTAGTGTCCCCATGTCACTCTCCACTGTGACGCTGTCCTCCTCACTTTTGTCACAGGGCCACTGTTAGAGCAGGATTGGACTCGAGAGCCAGAGGCTCTGTAGCCAGAGGCCTTGCTTCAAGCTGTGGTTTCTCCCACCCTCCAAAGGGCGTTTGAAATATCTGGGACAATACTGGTTATCGCAGTCTGGAGAGGGGAACTGCTGCGGGCACTTGGATCGCAAAGATGTCACTCATCCTAAGACAAACTCGGTAGGTCCAAGACTGAGTAACCCTGATCACACCTTGCAGTGGAGTCAGCCAGAGGAGGAGAGGGGGCGCTGTGTGTGTGTGTGTGTGTGTGTGTGTGTGTGTGTGTGTGTGTGTGTGTGTGTGTGTACACCTGGCACACCTGAACGCCACACAGCTAGAAAACTGTCCTGGGCTTGAATCAGAAACAGCCTTGACATTGAAGCTTCTCTCACGATTACTGGTGATGAAGGGTTCTAGAACCAAGAGAACCACCACCTCCTTCCGCAACACTGAGATTCGGGACCTCGGCGAAAGGCCCCCCCACTTATCCATAAATCCCAGAGATGGTTAGCAATACAGAAATGAAGTGGTATAATGAAGACTCATCATTTGACACAAGGGACCTCTCTAACTGTGGTAGACTCTGTCACCAATCTTCTGAGAGTGTGTGTGCCTGTGTGTGTGTGTGTGTGTGTGTGTGTGTGTGTGTGTGTGTGGTGTACACACACTCTCACATGGAGGCTGGAGGTCTACAACAGGTCCCCCCCCCTTTTTTTTAGCACTCTCCACTGTAGCTTTTATGTCAGGGCCTCTCCCTGAGCCTGGCAGTCACATGGACATTGGGCTGGCTTCAGGAACCTGCTTGTTTCTGCTTCCCAGTGCTAGGGTTTATACATGGATGCTAAGAAACCAAACTGAGGTACCCATGCTTACACAGCAGCTAAGCCATCTCTCGGTCCCTGCCACACCCCACTGGCAATCTTGTGCCATAAATGGGTTCTGAGGGTAGCCCGGTCCCCTCACCCACATCTGCTTGACTTGGTGGCATCTCACCTTGCCGGTGAACCCTTTGGATGTGGTTTCAGGTGCAGATGGACAGGACCCCTTTAGGGCAGAGGAGCTGCACTCTCTTGGGTGGTGGGGAGCTTTGGAAGGGCAGAGACTTCATCTTCTGGAGCAGGAAGGATGTGGCGGTTATTTAGTCTCTCTGTGTAAGTGCTTCCCTAATAAATACCTATGTATCATCCATTTTGGGTCTTGGGGATTCCTTTAAACCCGCCTTCAAGCCAATATTCTGAACCTGTGTTTAAGCCCGCCCATTGCTCACTCATGAGCTGTTCTAAGCCTTCTCCTCTGCCAGAGTGGAGCCTCCTAGGGTCACTCAGCTTCCTTCTCCATAGCCACCAGCCCCAGGGAAGAACCACACACACACACCTGCTGACAACCAGGACTCTGAGAGTCTCTGAGAACACAAATCAAACCTCCTGGAGGCCTGTTGCTCCCTGAGGCATCCCTGGGAATGAGAGCAGACAGGGAATTCTCTCAAGGGCAGGCATCTCCACTGCTGTTCCCATCCCCTTGGAGACAGTGGTGTGTGTGAGGCGAGGGGCAGGGGTAGGCAGCCGTGTGCCCGGCCAGGGAAATGTAGAAGAGGCTCATCGTCTTCAGGAAGCTGCCTCTGGTTCTGGAGGGAACCTCCTCGGAGCTCTCAGGAAGCTGATGCAGCATGGACCGGCCGGGCACACCCAGAGTGGGCAGCGCACATCATCCACGCTAGGGCAGGCCGCACGTTCCCTCCACCACAATCGTGGTTTGTCTTCTCTCGCTGTGTGACTCCACCACGCCGGGACTCAACAGACTTAAAGTGGCATCCGGTGGCCGTCAAGCCCAGCTGATCCATCCCTAGATCTGACTCATAACCATTCTCCTCGCTCTGTCTCTGTCCACCCCACCTGCACCCCACACACCGCTTTGATCCGGAGAGATCTCTTATCTGGGTGACTGCTGGTCTAACAGGCTTGCTCTGCTGCCTTCTGACCCTTTGGCCTTTTGTCTAGACCTGTATAGCGTGCTCTCTCTCTCTCTCTCTCTCTCTCTCTCTCTCTCTCTCTCTCTCTCTCTCTCTCTTTCTCCCTCTCCCTCTCTCTTTCTCACTCACTCTCTGTCTCTGTCTCTGTCTCTCTGTCTCTCTCTCTGTCTGTCTCTCTCTCTCTCTCTCTCTCTCTCTCTCTCTCTCTCTCTCTCTCTCTCTCTCTCTCTCTCTCTCTCTCTCTCGGCAAGCACCCAACCAACTAGACTACAGCCCCAGTCTCTCTTGTGATCCTTAGGAAACAGTTTTGATCGTGGGTCTTCTTAAAGCCCCTGGACCACTTGCCTTTGCTTCTAGAAAACTTCAAATTCCTCAGTGCTAGGCAAAAGGTCTTACTGGAGTCAAGACCTTTCTTGAGCTTATCATTGGTTACTCAAGCTCTGAGGGAAGGCAGCTTGACAAGTCAAATGGGGGGAGAGAGGGAGAGAGAGAGAGAGAGAGAGAGAGAGAGAGAGAGAGAGAGAGGGAGGGAGGGAGGGAGGGAGGGAGGGAGGGAGGGAGGGAGAGAGAGAGAGAGAGAGAGAGAGAGAGAGAGAGAGAGAGAGAGAGAGGAGATAGTATATTCCCAGAGCTTTGGTGTGTGTGTGTATGTGAATGTGGAGGTCAGAAAATGACAATGTCAAGGGTGTTCCTCAGTCTCTCTCCACCTTACTTCTTAAGCAGGGTTTCCCACCGAACCTGGAGCTGGATGACTCAGTAAGTCTAGACAGCCAGAGAGGGAGCCCTAGGGGTCCTCCTACTTCTGCCTCCCATGCCATGGGTTCCACTTTTTTCATGGGTGCTGGGGGTCTCGTATTTGCACAGCTTTTCTCTGTTCATCGTAAACGTTGACCCGGTCAAGGAAGCCATGTGCAGCCCAGGGAAGCCTGGCAGAGCCAGAAGTACAGACCAGGTCTCCCGAGGGCAGCAGCATCTCTAGTCCATTGGTCCTCAGCCTGTGAGTCCTGACCCCTTTGTCAAGCCCCTATCTCCAAAAATACTAGCATTATGATTCATAACCGTGGCGAAATTACAGTTATGAAGTAGCAATGGAAACAATTTGTGGCTGGGGTCAGCACATGAGGAACTATATTAAAGGGTCGCAGCCTTGGGAAGGTTGAGGACCGCTGCTCTAGTCCGTCCTCAGAAGAGCTTGTTTCAAGACTCCAGCCTCCTGTCAACCTCTGAATAACAGGGCTGAGGAGTGTTCCCAGCACTGTGCTGTGTCAGACTTCACAGGGGTCCTGTGGGGCAGGACCTTCGCTGTCTCCGTTCACATATGAACAAACTGATAGCCAGAGGCTGAGTAATACCTGTTTTTTAAAAATAGTCTGACCTGGGAGTTTACAACCGCAAGGGAGCCCTAAGCACCTAGCCATCCTGCTTCCCAGATTCAGGTGGGACCCAAAGCTGCAAGCCTGAACAGAAGGAACCCCACAGTGTATTCTGGATTCTTCCTGCACGGCTGCTGCCTCGAGGGTGCTTCTGCCCGATTTGAGGGTTCGTGTGTCCAACTGACCACAGAGGAGTAGGAAGCTGTTTGGCTTTTCTGACAAGACTCAACCTCAGAGGGTGTCCTGGCATATCTCAGAGACGGGAAAGGACTCATCTGCTGTCTGTGTCTCCTCTGACGGAGGAGACCTCATGACCTTCCGGGAAAGCAAGGTGTCGAGACCACAGCCCAGCATTGTGTTTTTAATGTGAAACACCCACCATAAGTGCATGTGTTTGAAACTTAGTCCCCAGAGAGTGGGGCTGTCTGGGAAGGTTGTAGAGCATTTAGGAGGCGGAGCCTGGCTGGAGAAAGCGGGTCACTGGCAGGTCTCGGGACTCTGTAGCCTGACCCCACTTCCGGTCGGCTCTCTACTCTCTGGGTGTGGATGCCATGAGATCACCTACCCCATCCTACTGCAGCCGTGATTTCCACTCACACTGCGAGCCAACCCCTGCTGCTCCTGCCTCAAGTGGCTTTTTGTTGGGTATTTTTGGTTTTTCCAGACAGGGTTTCTCTGTATTGTTTTGGAGGCTGTCAGTCCAGCCCGGCCTCGAACTCACAGAGATCCACCTGCCTCTGCCTCCCGAGTGCTGGGATTAAAGGCGTGCACCACCACCACCCGGCTTTGTTGGGTATTGTATCACAACAACAACACAAGTAACAATGCTGAAGGACATTCAGCAAGTGTCTGGTAGGAGTTTCACCGAAGACAACGCCTGCAGTTGCTACCACAGAATGCGAATTTCCCGGAGGCAACTAAACTGATGCCCCAAGTTGTCCTTCTCATCCCACAGCTGCTCTGGATCTCTTTCATACTTATTTAAGGGTTTACAAATATGTCCAACACAGGTTATCTAAGACCTGCCTTGGAGGGTGTCCCCATTCCTTTCAGAGCATTAATGTGGATCCAGCAGGGCGTTCCCCCTCCCCGTGCTGTCCGGGGAGGGGGTGAATGTGACCGCTGGTGCTGGCAGGAGGTGAATGTGACCCAGGATGTCCACACGGGGTGGACACACATTCCTGGCCTTTCAGCAAAGAATGACCCTTAAGATTTATGGACTTCATTTTATGTTTTAATGGTTGTTGTCAAAATTCCATGTGGCCTTCATGACTGATGGGCAGCAAGCAATGGGGAAAAATACTCTAGGAAATGAAAACAGCGTTCTTGAAGCCGGGAAGATGGGGACGAGTCGTTGTAGGGTATTTGTACGCCGCGTGAAGTTGTATTTGCTGTGATTAGTGCAATAAAAAGCTGAAACCGGGCAGCGGTGGCGCACGCCTTTAATCCCAGCACTTGGGTGGCAAAGGCAGGCGGATCTCTGTGAGTTCGAGGTCAGCTTGGTATGCAAGAGCTTGTTTTAGAACAGTTAGGGCTACCCTGACTCAAAAAAACAAAAACAAACAAGTAACGACAACAACAACAAGCTGAATGGCCAATAGCCAGGCCGGAGATATATGTGGGGAGGAAGGGGGAATGGATGCAGGCACACAGGAGTTACCAGCTAGATGGAGAGGAAACGGGGTACGAGATGAAAGGAAGATCAAAAGCCACGGGACAAAGTGTAGACTAATATAAATGGGTTAATTTATAAGAGCTAATAGGACAAGCCTAAGCTAAGACCTACCTTCCACAATTAATAAGAAGTCTCTGTGTCATTATTTGGGAGCTGCAGGGAC